TTGCATCAGTCACGAGAATCATTAGATTGTCTAATCCACCATAGTCTCAGAAACCAAAGTTTGACTTATTCTTCATTCCTTTGATCAACAAAGTTTTGTACAGTAGCTCTCTTATGTCAGACACTGGCAAGGTCACATAGATGTGGAAAAAATCAACACACTGATCTCAAGGTACTCACAGGGTATCCTGGGAGGCAACACATAAACCATGAATTGTAAGACATGCTACAATTTTCAACATAAAATAAATGAAGACAACTATAGTTATTTAATATCTGAAGCAGACATTTTATATTTAACAAATAGCCCTAGGAAATAAGTATTATCCCCATTTGGACATGAAAATAAGTAAATTTTTCAAGGTTACAGGATTAAGATAGTGGTCCTGGGTCTCAGAAATGCTCGACTCCCAGATTAAGATAGTGGTCCTGGGTCTCAGAAATGCTCGACTCCCAAGTCCTAATGTGGAAATGTCATTCTGCTGCTGTTGAAGTGTCATGGAAACAGGAGTGAGGAATTGACGGTCTTTGGAGAACCAGAAACAGGGAAGGTGGGCTGAAGGTAAAGCAGGCCTCAGAAGTGGCTTTGGGGACAGAGCTTGAAGGATGAATAGAACTCCAGCATGTGGAGAAAGGGCATAAGGCATTCCATATAGAGGGCTACCTCACACATGTGACATGTTTAGCAACCTGCGACCAGAGCAGAGAGTATGCAGGGAACAGGTGTGTGGTACAGCAGGCCAGGGAGGCTGGCAGCAGACTTGAGCCACCCATGGCACTGAAAAATTACTCTTCCCATTGTGGCTGTAGCACTGGAAGTCAGTGACTAGCCATGGCCTATTGGGCTGGAGGACACATCTGTCTGCCTAGTTTCTACTTCCCACCCCGCCACCAAGTAGCTGTCTTGTTTCCCTGGGGAATCCTCCAATCTGAGGGTTTGTCATTTTGGTAGAACCAAAATCCCTAGTTCCAAGGGGTATGACTTGGGCTGGGCCAATCAGAGCATCATACATTTAATGATTGGTTTAGGGACTAATTGTGGGTTTCAACTCATATCCTGGAGCTTATAATTGTTGGGAAGGTAAAAATTTCTAATTTTCCTCTTGGATTTAAGAGAACATAGGTTGTAAGCTGGAAGGCATCTGTTGGAAAACAGAGTCATCACAGATGGGAGCAAAACCAGAGGAGAAAGGTGACACTGAGTCCTCATGGTATTGCTTGTGTCCCTGGATCCAGCCATGCAGAGATTTTCTACTAAGTGAA